ATTTCAAGTTGATTGTGAAGAAGAGAGTTCATTTTCTGTGCTCTCAGACATTGCTAAGAAAGAAAAAACAGACTTATTCACATCTCATGTCAGATAAACCTAACAAACATTTTATCAAATAAGATATGTCACAGGTAACTCATTTAAACTTATAGCTGTTCAGGTTCATGAGAAATTCCTGTGCAAATAACATGAAAAGAAATAAAAGCCTCATAGAATTAAACCTAAAATGATTATTTACATCCCATAGATTGAAAGTGAAGAACCATAAATGAGCTCCCTGGTCCTTCCACACCAGCTCAGGATTCTATTCTATCCCGCATTCTAAGCACATTCACTCTACCAGTTAGTCCTCTCTGCTGTGTGGTGTCAACTTTTCCCTCTCCACTAAATATGTCCTATAAACATTCAGGCATATTAGAGTCTCTATAATTTTCAAAAAATAATGTTTCCTAAGTCCCACATCTTCTTGCAGTTGCTGCCTTATGTCTACACATGCTGCTACAACTTCTTTAATGCCCATATTCCACTTAACCCAGCATAATCAAGAATTCACCTCAATCACCCAACACACTGGGCTTACAGTAACCTCCATGCTGCTAGACCCAGTGGACTTCACTTGTCGTTTTCTACTGACAGTTTACAACTCTCTCCTTTTGAAACCCAGCGATAAAAGAAAAATGAGTTCCTAAAACATAACGTAGATGAACCTGGAGGCCATTATGTTGAGCAAAATGACTTTTATGAAATGACATGAACAAGTAAATATACAGAAACTCATGTTCATTGGCGGTTACCAGGGATGGGGAGGGGGAGAGGAAGTTTTACTCTCTAGATAGTAAGATACTTGTTATTTTTGGTGATGGGAAAGGTAACACCGAATGAGGATGAAGTGTATACAGCATGATGAAGGTAAATAATATCACTAAAAAGTACACAAGAAAAAAGAACCCATTGGTAATTGCTATGGCATATATAATACTGAAACAACAGCGAACACAACCAAAAAATATATGTGTGGGTATATATGGATTTATGTAGGTATATATATGTATAGGTACCAGAAAGATGTTTACCTGTGTTTTACTGACTATGCAAAAGCATTCGATTGTGTGGATCATACAAATTATGGATAACATTGCGAAGAATGGGAATTCCAGAACACTTAACTGTGCTAATGCAGAACCTGTACATAAACCAAGAGGTAGTCATTTGAACAGAACAAGGGCATACTGCGTGGTTTAAAATCAGAAAAGGTGTGAGTTACGGTTGTATCCTTTCACCATACGTATTCAAACTGTATGCTGAGCAAATAATCCAAGAAGCTGGGATATATGAAGAAGAACACGGCATCAGGACTGGAAGAAGACTCATTAACAACCTGCGATATGCAGATGGCACAACCTTGCTTGCTGAAAGTGAAGAAGATTTGAAGCACTTACTGATGAAGATCAAAGACTACAGCCTTCAGTATGGATTACACTTCAACATAAAGAAAACAAAAATTCTGACAACTGGACTAATAAGCAACATTATGATAAACAGAGAAAATACTGAAGTTGTAAAGGATTTCACTTTACTTGAATCCAAAATCAACGCCTGTGGAAGCAGCAGTCAAGAAATCAAACAACGCACTGCATTGGGCAAATCTGCTGCAAAAGACCTCTTTCAAGTATTGAAAAGCAAAGATGTCACCTTGAGAACTAAGGTGTACCTGACCCAAACCATGATATTTTCAATCACCTCATATACATGTGAAAGCTGGCCAATGAATAAGGAAGACCAAAGAAGAACTGATGCATTTGAATTATGGTGCTGGCGAAAAATACCAAATATACAATGGACTGCCAGAAGAATGAACAGATCTGTCTTGGAAAAAGTACAGCCAGAATTCTCCTTAGAAGTGAGGATGGTGAGACTTCATCTCAGGTACTTTGGACATGTTATCAGGAGAGACCAGTACCTGGAGAAGAACATCACGCTTGGCAAAGTAGAGGGTCGGCAAAAAAGAGGAAGACCCTCAACGAGATGGATTGACACAGTGGCTGCAACAATCAGCTCAAACATAGCAATGATTGTGAGGATGGTGCAGGACTGCACAGCATTTTTTTCTGTTGTATATAGGGTCGCTATGAGTCGAAATCGACTTGACAGCGTCTAATAACAACAACATATAAAATCAAACCAAACCCGTTGCCCTCAAGTCAATTCTGACTCATAGCGACCCTACAGGACAGAGAAGAACTGCCCTATATGGTTTCCAGGGAGTACCTGGTGGATTCAAACTGCCGACCTCTTGTTTAGCAGCCATAGCTCTTAACCGCTATGTTACCAGGGTTTCCATTTCCTACTCACTTACCAACATGGTTAGGTTCCAGAGACCAGGTCATTATGTGAAATCAGCATTATGCAGAAATGGAGGATGACCACATCAGATCACAAAATGGAGGATGATTACATCATTATACAACTGTCAAATTACATCATTACCTAACTGTCAAATTATATCATTATGTAACTGCCAAATCTCTGGGAATCATGGCCCAGACAAGCTGACACATAACCTTAACCATCACAGCCAGCATTACTCTCACCACGCACATTGGCATTCGTTACTGCCAGATGCAAACTGTTAATGCGCAAAATAGTCAGATAGCAGATTTTTGACTATTGTCATAAATAGGAAATATTGGATAACGAGACCATTGATATGTAAGGAAAAGGTGCACACATGTGTGTGCATACATATATACTCATATATATAATAAAACACATAAGGGGCACAGTTATGGATACTTCTTAGGCATAACCAAACACCTCACGGGATTGGTGTTCTGGGTTTGAAGGCTTAGGACTATAGTCTTGTGGGACAACTGGGTAAATTGGCATCATATAGTTCATAAAGCTTATGTTCTGCATCCTGGTTTAGTGAGTAGTGTCTGGGGTTGAAAAGCTTGAGAGCGGCCATCTAAGATACAACTATTGGTCTCTACTCATCTGGAACAAAAGACAAAGAAGAAAATCAAAGACTCAAAGAAGAAACTAGTCTACAGGGCTAACAGACTACACAAACCACGGCTCATCTACCCCGAGACCAGAATAATTAGATGGTTCCCAGCTACCACTACCGACCATTCTGATCAGGCCCACAATAGATAGATCCTGATAGAATGGGAGAAGAACGTGGCCCAGAACCTCAAATTCTTGAAAAAAAAAATCCAGACTTACTGGACCAGTCAGTTGAGACTGGAGGTCTCCCCAAGACTATTGCCCCAAGATCCTCTTTAAACTTTGAACTAAAACAAATCCCTGAGGTTACCTTTTAGCTGAACAACAGATTGGCTTACAAAATAAAGAATATCAACTGTGAGTACTGTGCTTCTTTAAAAAATCATTTCTATGAGACCAAATGGTCCATGTTTACTCAAAACGAAGATGAGAAGGTAAGGGAAAAGGGAAACTAGATTAATGGAAATGGAACAACCAGAATAGAAATAATGAGAATGTTCACACACTGTGAAAAATGTAACCAATGTCACTGAACAATTTGTGTATAAAATTGAATGGGAAACTAAACTGCTGTGTAAACCTTTACCAAAAACACAATAAAATATTATTTTCAAAAAATAAATAAAATGTCATAATAAGAAGAAAAAAAAATCCTTCAATGACTTCTCAATCTTCTTAGGATAAAATCTAAAATCCTTCCATGGTCTACAAAGCCCTATATAACCCGGCCCCTGCCTACCACTCCAGCTCTCTCTCACAACACTGTCTCCTTTGTTTACTCTACTTTGGCCACGCTGGTCTTAGTTCATGTATATCCTTCAAGTCTCAGCTAAAATATCACTTCTTTCCCTGAACCCCCTAAGATGGAGTTATAGAGGGACCCACATGATTGAGGGGACCTTGATGAATAGGAAAAAAGGGGATGTACTATTAACAAGGAAGGGTAGGGAAGGGAGCAATTTGTGGGACTAAGAATGGGATAGAATGTCTTGGAGGGAAAGAGAAACAGGAATGGACTGGTTGAACCATAACATTCTTGAAGATACTAATATTGCCTATTAAACCTCCATTATTCCCTCTCATGGCTTCCTGTACTCCTCATTCATAATATTCATCATGATTCTATTTAAATACCTATGTCTATGCTTATTTAATGTCTAAAATCCACATTAAACAGTATTCTCTATATGAATAAAAATTAGGACAGGTTTGCTCATCATTGCATCCTTAATACCTAGCACACAGTAGGTACTCAATAAATGTTGCTGTATGTGTAAATACCAAATAATTTAGTTTTAAAGGAATACAACTCAAGTCCAAGTGGTACTAAAGTAGTAAATGTCCACTCAAGTTGAATGTTAAAGATGACTATGAGATTTTGTTATTAGAGTGGTTTATTTAGATGATTATTAAGGTTAATAAGTATTTTTTTCACCAGATTCATTAAATGTAATCATATTCCTTTCCTCTTGTTTTCAAGTATTCTTTCTCCCTCTCCATTTTCCCTGTCTATACTAAACAACTATTAAGGGACAGAATATTGTCCACTAATAACTTCATGTCAAGCTTCGGTTGTCAGATTAGTAGGTTATAGCATGGCTCCTGTGGCCAAGGAAATGGATTTAGAGTCCAAACATGTCAGTAAACCTGACTCAGAAAGCACCCTCATCACTAGATGCCATTTATTAAAACATGGAGAAGGTGAGAAAATGTACATTGACTAACTACAAACCCATCTCCTTTATTGGAACAATAATGCAAATAATATCTATTAGAACAATAACCCTGCTGACTGTGACTTTTTTATAAAGATAGCAGATATGCAAAACTATTGTGGAGAAGATAATTAGGCACATGAAAGTCCACGTGATCACTTATGTAAGAATGTGGCTCTGCTGTATTTCATTTTCAAGATCCATATAGATAAACAATGACTAAAATTTGTATAGAACTCAAGTACAGTTGAGTATACTGACAACCACTGGTTCTACCTGTTTTGTTGGTAAAAACACACAGACTCAGGTGTTTGGAAAATTTCTCTTGATCTTGAAGATAATCACATCCAAAGTTGACAAGCCTAGGAACATAAAAGATAAAAAAATTGTTGAGTACACTTAAAAATATGTTTCCTAATAAAGGATGTGAGTACTCACTATCCTATAGACCCAGAAGTAGAGACATATCCCTGAGAAATTTAAGAAGATAAAAGGCTGCTTTTTTCTGTTAAGAATTCTATAAAACAGTTAATAACAATTACTTTTAGAAAATACGTGGTATGTAAATGGCATGGCACTAGCAATAGAAAGAAAATGTTATTTTCAAATTATGTTTTTCTGATTTAGAATAACAGATATTATGTTTGAAAAGAAGCACAACTAATTGTTCATATATGATAAAATGAAGCTAGTGAAATATGTAACAATTTAGGATTATCATTACTCTAATTCAGGAAGACTTTCACTTCTTCTGTGCTCTGATGACCTGTGTTTATCTCTTCAAAAGCGCCTTGTGCTTTTCCTACACCTAAAGTAATCTAGGGGGTGGGGTGGGGAGGGAGGGACCTCACCTTCTGTATAAAAAGGAAAACAGAAAAAAGTAATAGACTCAGCTGAGCTACAAATGGGTTGACCTATAACATGCTCTTTGATGGCAACAAGGAAAGAGTTCTGGTGTTTGGTTCTAAATGTAGCTCTCTGACTCATTGAATCCTTTTATTTAATCATAGGGAGAAGAGCAGTTCCATGGATCGAAATGAATGGAGATGCCATACAGAAATAAATGGCTAACAAAAACTAATACAAATGACTTTTCATGTAAAAGCCTGTTCATACTTGACAAAGTTGTTTATATTCCCTGTCAAGAACAGGAATGTATAAAGAAGATACACACACACCAAGAGAATTTTAAATCACCCTTTTATCTGCACACCATGAATTAGGTATAAATCTAATCATTTCGCCCACATGAACATCTAGAAAAATTAGTCCCACTCTATGAGTCACTTACTTAAATCCTGAGTCTTTTAATGATATGTCCAAGGATGCTTCAAACTGTCAAAAATCAGGAGAAAACAAACCCCCAAAATGATATTAATTAAGTGATGACAGTTCTGAAAACCAGAGCAAGCCTAACAATGCTGTGCTTGCCTAATGATGAAGAGCCCATTGAACCACCATTACCCTCAGCACAGAAAGTCTCCACAGGGGATATTTCAGAGTTTACATACAATCACAAGACTGACGTGTATTTATTTCTTAAAAGGCTAGTACTTGGCAAACTTTGAATCTGAATATCAGAAACACATCGTATAACAGGCCAGTTGGAAGTGGTAGCCTTTTATAAGACACAGATGACCATTTAAGTAAGGAAGGACTAGGTGGCTTTAGAAGGAGGGGGCTCTTTGTAAGTGAACAAAAAAAGGGGGAATAAATATAAACCCCTCTTGTGACTGCATGATATCAATCTGAACTTTTAGTTCAATATTAGCCCTTGTCAAGAAAACTAATAACATACTATTCACCATAGACAAAGGTATTAGTGACTCCACATTACAAGGTTACCACTCCAAATACTAGCTGTTTCAGGTGTGATGCTAGACTTTTACTATTTAAACTTTATTCTCTCTTCGACTTCTTACCTTATTCTCAAATCCACCATCTTCACAAGTCTTTTTGGGTCAAATAACTTGTAAGCACTTAAAGCTATCTATTATAGACCACACCTATTGCCCTCTACTAATCTCACTCTTGTTTCTTCAATGCCAGGCACTCAGTTAGTGGATAGATTTCCTGTGTGTGGCCTTCTAATCCCCCATATTAATTGCACTTGCTTTAAAGCTGATACCCTAAGATGGCAAGAACTATTTTACTTGCTCATACAAGTGACTAACACAACATCAAGAATGCTAAAATGCTCTTATAGTAACAACTCTCTTAAAAAGGGGCAGCGTGTTATAAAATTTCCTGTAGGCCAGTCATGCTCTGGACTTACCATTAGAGTAAAGTTCTCATCAGCATTAAACTGGATGCATTTTAAGATAGTCCTTGAATTCTAAAAGAGAAAATAATTAGAATAAATGACATACTACCAAAAATCAACAAAAACGCTAGTAAAAAAAGAGAGAGAGAGAGACAGAGAAGAAAATCTTCTCATTATTTTTAACAACCCTTCATTGACTGCCCTCCACCAACAAAAATACAGTGATAAATTACCATCATGGAAATGTCAAAAATCAAATTGCTCCTCTCAAAAGGACAGCCAGAGGACTAGTTTTTACCTTCAGGTCAATGTAGTATAGTCTTTGCTCTAACATATCCCACTGAGCCCAAACAAAATCCTCAGCTACTCTGTCTCTTGGAAGATGGCCAGAATTTTTAATCACCTAAAGAGACAAAAAGTTTTTACAACATAAGTAACTATTTTAAAATACAGAACGCATTCGGAATTCATTATTATTTTTCATTTTCAATCTTGAAGTACACGTCAATATCTCATTTTTACCAGTCCCTCTCTCCTCCCAACACACACACACACAAACACACACACACAGGCAGTCTTTCCAGAAAAGTTTTATGGCAACATTTCATTACTTGCTCTTCCCAAACACTATATAATGTATTATTTTATTCTTGTACTTAATTTAGTAGACAGGCTGGGGTTGTTGAAGGCAAAGCCACATTTACCACAGATCAACAGCTTGGTTAATAGGAGATTCAGAGCTTCCTGTTCTTGATATAACCCACTCAGTCAGGTCTCTGCAGGCAAGAGGCCTTAACTACCATAGATAGAGGCTGTGGTGCCAAGGAAAAACTCATGCCTGGAAAGGGAAATACTGGATAATGACCCCACTTGTGCCATAAACTATCCATGTGGTTTTGGGCATGCTTCTTAGCTTTGTGTCTTCCACAATAAGTATGATGATATTGCCCATCTCTCAGTATTACTTAACTACTCATCCTGCGAGACCAGACTTAGGCATTCCTTCCATACAAAGCCTTCTGTCACCTCCCAAGGCATACAGCAAGGTTCCCCAAGTCTGTGTTCCCATGGCCATTTGGCATGCCTCTATTACAGTTACATTTTGATGCATGCTTTAAGTCTCCCCCAGTGAGTATGCACTCTCCTACAGCACCTTTGTATTCTTGACGTATTTTTTCTAGCATGTAATACTATTCCAGGTATGCTTGTTAAAAAGAAGAAAAATGAAATAAGAGGTGCATGGTAAATGGCCGAAGACATTACAAATGTAAAGTATAGAATTTTGGAATCAGAAGAGATGACTGAAACCATCCAATTCAACCCCTTTACTTTACAGATGAGAAAACCAAGGCCCAGAGAGGTTAAGTTAGGCTCTAGCTAGTTCAACGAAGACCTGGAATACCCGTCTTCTGGTACCCAGCCAGGGCCCTTTCAGCATGTCAGCTGACCTAAAATAACTTGACAGAAGGAGTTAGGAATTCATTTTCCTCAAAGTGTTCATGAAACAAAAGTAATCTATATTGGGATAGATGAGTAAAGAACGAAGAGAGATTGAGGAAGAAAAATGAGGAAAAAGGGAGCTTTAGATTGGTCCATATAACAGGGATTTCTGCTCCGAGGCTAACTTGGGACTGAAAGGAGGCTCATGGCATGAAGAGTTGTACATCTCTGTCTTGCTTCCGCAGGTCCATTACATTTAGGCTGGAAGAAAGTGAGGCTGGAGAAAACAAAAATTCCAAGAGTACCTGTCTATCTCTAAACCTTGGGCAACCCATCCTGTTTCCATTTTTCTGAAATTTGTTAGGTTGGGGTAGATCTGGAAACCCTTTCAGATAAAGGTATATACTGAGAGGAACACGAACATTGGAGTATGGCATACCCAGGTTCAAATCTCAGTCTTGTCTCTTTCTAGAGTTAGCTCACCTCTGTGAGTCTTGATTGTCTTCTCTCTAAAGATAGGGATAATTAATAATGCCACCTCTCATACAGGGATACTGTGAGGAACACATGAAACTATGGATTCAATTGTATACTCCAAAAATATGTGTTGTAAATCCTAACCCTTACAACTGTAGATGTAATCCCATTTGGGAATAAGGTTTTCTTTGTTATGTTAATGAGACCATATCAGTGTAGGCTATGTTTTAAGCCAGTCACTTTCAGATATAAAAAGAGCAGCTGAGATGCAGAAGCAGGTATGCACGAATAGGGAAAGATAGATGCAACCTGGAGATCTCCAAGAAATGCCAGGAAGAATGCTAGAGATGCTGAGTCAAGGATTTTCTCCCAGAACAGACAGAGAGAGCCTTCCCTTAGAGCTGGCACTCTGAATTCAGACTTCCAGCCTCCTAACTGTGATAAAATAAATTTCTGTTCGTTAAAGCCACCCACTTCCATTATAGCAGCACTAGATAACTAACACACATGGAATTGCACACTGCCTGGTTCACAGCTGTGAGAAGCTGTTGTCTAAGGCTTTAAGAACGACAGAAGCACCTCACTGAAGCGCGCACGTGGAGAAAAAAATGCTAAGGCTGCACTGTCTGGTCTGGCAGAATCCTTTCTGGGCTCCTGTCAAGTGCACTTCCCCTCACTTCCCCTGCAGTGGCTCCTTCAGCTCCCAAATCCTCTTCTAACCAGCCAGGCCTCTGCCTATGCTCAGTCCCACTTACCAACCCTAATTTGTTTATTTAGCTCTCTCCTCTAAACTCTCACCACTGCCTTTGGGTTTCTGCCTTGGTCTTTCTTCTGTGGCTCCACTGTCTTCTGACCACTGGCTCTGCCCCTGCCCTCCCATCCATTTAGCCAGTCATGGTCCAGGGCTCTAGCCACACACTTTCTCCTGGTCATTTCCCAGCCAGGCCTATAGATTTGAGGCTTTCAATAGTAGACACATAATTAATGAATGCCATTTCCATTTTAATTTTTTCTATTTAATATTCTTCAAAATTAAAATCTTCAGTGAAAACTATTTTGATGAATGAAGGCTATTATTTAAATATTGACAGAAACAATTTTTAACATCAGTAAAAACATCAAGAAAATGACAACCCAACAGAAAAATAACAAGTATATATTTCAGCAATTTTCAGAAAAGCAAATTCAAACAGCCAATAAACATAGGAAAAGATGCTCAAACTCACTAATATTAAAGGAAATACAGACTAAATAGTAATAAACATCAACTTACACCAATCAAATTAGAAATATGGTTTTAAAGAGCAATTGCATTACGCAACGGTACTTATTACTGGTATAAGAAGGTAGAGGGAAAAGGTATGCTTATATTTTGCTTGTAAAACTATGAATTGTTTAAAATTTTTTGGAAAGCAATCTGGCAAAATCTGTTGACATGTTAAAAATACATATACTCATCAACCCAACAATCCATCCCTGAGGATTCAGCCCAAAGAAATATATATATTAATATGTAAAGCTATAGCTATAAAAACATTTATTGATGCAATTTGTAACACACACTACAAAACTGGCAATCAAATGCCCAAATATGAGAAAATGGTTGAAAAATTGTGTACATCCACACGAGGGATTATTATGTCCTTCTAAAGAGAAAGAATTGGAGTGATTCAAGTTGACTTACAGGTAAGTGGACAAAGTGGAATGAGGAAAGAGTGAATAATAACAAACTAACCCCTATGTGTGTCATGGGTGGAGGTAGTAGATTATATAAATATGGAAAAAGATATGAAAGGATATGTACCAGGTTATAAACAAAAGCTAGCAGTGAAAAGGAAACGGAGAAGTGAAAAACAAGCAAAAAAGAGAAGAAAACTGTATTATATAACCCCAGCCAACATGTCACTATTTCATTTATTGTGTGTGTATATGCATAAACAATTAGAAAAAATAGTTATATATTTATTTAGTAACCTAAGAGGCATGGCTGCTAACCAAACGGTTGGCAGTTCGAATCCATCGGCTGCTCCTTGGAAACCCTATGGGGGCAGTTCTACTCTGTCCTATAAAGCCACTATGAGTTGGAATTAACACAATGGCAACAGGTTTATAGGGATACGCCTGCTATATTAAGCAAAAATTAAACACAAAAGTGACAGATTAATGTATATATTATGATCTCATTTTGGTAAAAACAATTGAAACTCAATATATGTGCACCTAAGGATCCCTCGTAACACAACAGTTACGCTCTAGGCTGCTAACCGAAAGGTTGGTGGTTCGAACCTACCCAGCAGTTTTGCAGGAGAAAGACCTGGCAATTTGTTCCTGTAAAGATCACAGCCTAGAAAATCCTATGGACATTTCTGTTCTGTCACATGGGGTCGCTATGAGTTGAAAATCAACTCGATGGCACATAACAATAACATATATGCATCTAACCTTGTATATGTTTGCACAAGCAAGGTAAAAGGTGTAGAAAGACTCACATAAGGCTATTATCACTAGCTACCTCAGGAGACTGAAATGGGAAGATAGGATAGAGATGAAAGGGATAACTCTTTCATATATCTTTGTGTTACTTTACATGTTACAACAAGCATGTCTATAATTTGAAAGATGTCAAAAAAGAAAACGTTATGTATCAATAACATTAATTTACCCTCACTAGAAATACAGCTCTTAGTGGAAAAGCAAGCAAAAAGAATTTCAAGTCTTTACCACTTTATCTCCATCTTCTTGGGTGACTTGGATATGAAATTGTTCAATATCTTAAAAATAAAAACAGCAGAAAGATAATTTAACCTTCATGAAAAATATGAGTAGTTTTTTCACAAGTTGTGAACAAATTTTTATAAAAGTAATGCAGATTAAACAACTGCTGTAAATCAGACAGTAATCTCACAATGAAAGTTAAAAAAACAAACAAACAACTACCTTTCTCCACCCTCCCACCCTTTACAGTCTTTTTCAAGTCCAACATTTATTTCACTCTTCAATATCAACAATATATGAAGCTTTAAAAATAAATAAATAAATAAAAACACCAACACTAACAATACATGAAGCTTTTTACCCTGCTGATTCTCCAGGTTCCCTCAACAAGTGTTCGCCTCCCCTATTCCATCAGTCTTAAAAATAAGAGTCTAAGGTCAGGGTTTAACTTTCAGTTTTCAAATACCAGACACCTGTTTGTATAGGCAAACCAGAAAATTCATTATACAAGATAATTTGCGGAGACATTTTTATAGGGGCAGTTTCATGGTAGCAAAACTCTAAACACTTTAAGTCAATTTGTGGGTGGTCCCTTTCTACCAGTAAGCAATTTAGATTAAGCCACATTTATATTCTGCTATTCCTACTTACAAAATGTGAGACAGACGATTGGATGAGTGTGTAAGGAAACTGAACACAAACCTAAGCCCTCAGGCCTATCCTTCCAACTATAAATCAGCCGTTTCACTTTCTAACGTGAAAGACTGTTTACTAGATAAGATCCACCAGTGAATTTTGTTCTTTTTTCCCCAAAACTTGAAAGCATTTTGGAAGGACATAGCCTTCTATGTCCCAATTGTATTTGCCTCCCCCTCAATTTGACCAAGTTAGTATGTGTCCTCAAGTACTGTCATGGAATTCTTTTAGCTACTATAGCCTTTTCCTCTCTCCATCGAAGCCTCTCTCCATATATCCTTATCCACTCTGACAAAGATCCTAAAGAAAGATGTACTAAAAAGGAGAAAAATGACCTGCATGACTGTTCTACAAACATTTTACCATATGATACCACTGAAAATCTACATACACAGAAGCCCATCATTCCTAGGATGAGGAAACTGAGCAAAGACTGAGGGAACAACATATGGGGGTAAGAAGGAAAATTCCTCACACAGGAGTCCCGGATCTGAAATGGACAACAAAGGTCAGTGGGCGTCCACTGCTGGCAAGTGGACATCTAGAAGATTCAGTTATGTCCCACACTTCACTAGGATACCATGGCCCCTTCATGAAGTCCCTATAGGCCACCTAAAGATATACTTACATTTCTCTTCTGAAATCAGTAACAGACGGTTCTCTGAAAGAGGGTGACTTTCAACATGTGGGTAGAGGAACTGTAAAAATGAAATTAATCAAAACCATAAGCAACTACCTTCCTTGCATAAATTTTTCAGAAGGTGTGACTGATCCTCCTGTACTACTTATAACACCATAGAAGGGACTGGGAAGCACAGAATAGTTCAGGAGAATCAAAAGCACTCACACACTACAGGTCAAAGCAAGCAGCAACACTTTTAGGAACTCGATTTTCCAAGGGAAAACTGACCTCAAGTACAATATTGTCATAATTAATTCACACAGTAAGACTAGAGTTTAAGTTATTTCTAGGGCTGGCACTTCCTATTTGGAATATGTGATATGGATGTCAATTAGAAACAATGTAAACAACACTTATACAGAATGTACTATTTTGTAAAGTAGAATGAGAGATCAATACATTTGTTGTGCAAGTATGTCTAGCACTTAATTTGAGAGTCCAGTAAACATGCTCTTGACTAAAATTCCAAAGTCCCACATCCAAGAGACAAAGTACAACATAACCAGGGATTTTCCAAGAAAGGACAGCGAGTCACAGGGTGGCATGTGGTTGAGGATTTATGAGCCCTAAAGCACTATCTGTCTACAGGACAAATCGGGCGGCCAGAAACACAAGGCAGTCCCGTACTTTTAACACCAGACCTGACCCTGTCAGCTGTGGTAATGAAGGAAAGCTGGTGTCAAATGCATCATGACATGACTCCAGCGACTTAATTCTTTCATCATCAAAAAGGTTAAGCCATGTTACAGTCAGCAGCCTCCCTAAATACTAGAAAAAATTTTTTACAAAATATATTCCTAACTTTTCATAATAATAAATTGAAAATAGTCAACTCTCCCTTTTGGAAGTGAAAAACAAAATACTGTCTATATACCATTCTTCAAAGCAACAGCATTAAAATTATAGACAGCAACGCAGAATATAGCTACAAAAATAATGTAGAATTCATTTCATGATTTGTGAAACTGTGCACATGAAACAAAATACTTTGTGTACTAAAGTTGAAGAGAAGCAAAGGTGAGTGACACCACATATATAATGGAAAAGAAAACCCTCTGAGCCACAAAATGAGGGGGTACCCCCATAGAAGATGATATGGCCTCCCTCAAGATCTACAGAGATAGCAGCTTGGGGATGCCTGCTTAGAAGCGTGAGCTGGCCTAAAGTGCTGAAGAGCTATAACTTTTAAACTTTTGTCTGGTCTTTACGTGGCAATCAATGAGAACATGGTTCTTTAATAGTTCCATTTACGTTGTTGTTTTTCTTTGTATTATGAGGCAGCCCTGGGCAAGTTCTGGAAGCTAGAAAATAAATAGACAGATTTCCAGCACAGCTCTACAAAAGTATACAAGGTGTTTTTTGCGTTGTGAATAGGAATCTATACAGATTATGTTGCATTTAGGAAAATGTTTTCTCCACAAATATGGAATTAGACTCTGAGAATTAATATCTGTCTTTGGGAGGTATATAATATAGATGTGTAGAAGGTAGAAGGATGTGTGTGTGTGTGTGTGTGTGTGTGTGTGTGTGTGTGT